TTATTTTCTGCATAAAAATATTCAAAATGAACCACATAAATAGAAGTCCCTTGTACGAAGTTTTATGCGTGGAAGGTCTTAAAAAACTGTTATATATGTTGAAGATCTTTAACAGAGGTGCTATGCTTAGAATCCTAAGAACTAAATTTATTCGTAAAAGAATCCAAGAACATCTACTGCTTTAGAGATATCTTTAAAAGAGCTTCCATGCTTTAGAGAACTTTAAAAGACCAAGAGATATTTTATGAAAGGTAGATTTTTCAACTTCAAAAGCTCTCGGATTCGAAAAGAAAACAATAAAATGTCCTTCTATACAAAAACAAATTTGAAAAGTTCTTCGATATATAAAAGGCATTGAAAAGTTCATCTATAAATGTCTGGAGAGACTCTTCCGTAAATAGATTATTTTCAAAATCACATCTGTGAACATTAGTTATTGACAATTTATACATGTAGGACATTTTCAATATCTAATTTTTAAGGTTTTTTCCTTTCGGAGAGTGTTTTATGTGCAGCGGAAAATAAATATGTCATCTATTGATAGAAGATCTTCCATAATTGCAAATTATAGGTCTTTTCTAATGTAGATCATTAATCAATAAAAATAAATAAAATTTCTCGTTACTTACCCAATCCCTTTGGTACAATACCACTTTTAGCACGTGGATTCACAACCCAATAATAATATTTCAATGTGTGCACGGTCTGGAGGACGGTGCTGACACGACGTACATTGCTGTAGATCTGTGTATCGCTTAGAAACTCGGTGGCCAGATATGAATATAAACGGGCCTGGACATTGGCCGGTGTATAAATCCACAAGGCTGGATTGAAGAGGACATGGTCCAACAGCTGCCAGGTCAGAAATGAGAAGCAGAACAGCTGCAATGCCCACGATAAAATAAAATGCGGGGAGAAGGAAAAGAGAATGCAAATTGAAATTATTAAAATTAAATATAAAATTGGTGTCGACGGAATATTAACTTATTTCAAAATCTCAATATTATTACTCAAAAAAAAAAATCATAAATATTTAATAAATTACAAGTTACAAATATAGATATTTTTTGATATATATGATTATATGTAGATAAAACAATATATATTATTTATTATATACATACATGTTTTTATGCACACAATGCAGTTGATTTAATTTATGATACATTCACATATCAAACAAGATAACGAAACAAAAGGAGAAATGAATATTCAACTCGCCAGGCAATGTGGAACCACAGCATTGATGACGATTTTTGTTTTATTTTCAATTTTCGTTTTTTTTTTCAAAATCGTTCCATTTGCCAGTTCACATATCATAACCATGATTTATAATATGGTTTCAGGATTGAGTTGAGCGAGAGAGGGGGCGGGATTGGAGGTAAATGTTTTACAGGTAGAGCATTCCATCAAATAAAAGTAACACAGCATGCACAGCAACAAAAATTATACATATTTGTTTTTTGTCAATATAAATATTTTATCCATCATTCCCAGAGTATAGTTTATAATATATATCAGCGCATCAATTACAATCATGGCACAAAAAAACGACAAATCATATGGAAGTTTTTCGTTTGAAATATGTAAAGAAATTAAAAAAAATTAAAAAATGTAATTTAATAAAAACCATATAACATGAGTAGTAGTATTTATAGTAGGTAGCTAGATATCTATATAACAAAATAGAAATTTTATGTTTTTAATTCAATAACAAAAAAAAAAATATTCTAGGAAAAATAATTTGTTTCAATTGATGTTCGTTTATTGTGGAAGAATTTTTTTTTTTATTTTTTTTTTTTTTTCAGGAAAAAAAAGTAATTTGAATATGTATTGATTTAATTAGATTGATTGTAGCTTGGTTTTCGAATACGTATGTGTGGATGACAATAATGCATGACAATGATTTGATTTTTTTTTTTCAATTAAAAATTATTAGTTTTTTTTTTCTACTACTTGGTGTGGTAGTGTTGTAGGTTTTTTTTTTTGTGTAGGTGTTATGTGTTGTATTTCAAGTGATAATAGAGTTGTGGTGAATTTTGTTTTTTGTTAATGTTATTTTAATAGATTATTTTAATCTATATCCTGTATTCTTAATCCATAAGATACTTTGTGTTCAATAATATTCATATATGTGGTCACCAAGTTACACTAATGCTCAAAGAGAGAAAAGAAATAGATAGAGAGAGACATTGCCTTTGGGCGCTTTGGACTTATGAACAATTTGTTCAAACTATTATTATTATTTTTTTTTTAATTTAATAATATGGAGATAAGAATTGGCTTCCGGCTGTCTTTTTTTTCTTAATTTCACAAAAACAAGTTTAATAACTCTGTGTCATAAATTAAAGTTAAGTATTGAGGGGTGGAAAAATCCTACTGAAAATGATGGAATTTATGGAGTATATTAAAGACTCAAATGGAAATTTTCCTAATTTAATATAAAAGCGATTGGGAATGAGGGTAGGGAAGAACAATTTTTTAATAAACATTAAATTCTTCTTCCTCATAATCTAAAATTAAATAAAACAAGTTAAAACGTATCAGTCGGTTTTGCCGACAGATGTATACCATCAGCCAATGTTCGATTTTTTATATATATTTTGAATTCTGCTATGACTATTCAAATTGTTGGCCCTCTATGTAATACGGTTCCGAAGGAATGAGCGAATATTGTTCATTTCGTTTAGGATCTAAATAAAGATGATATAAATATTGCGACTTTTCAGGTTTGGACAATATCGACTACTTCCTTCACTTTATATGAGATATGTGACCATTTTCAGAAAATGCTAAAATGTGCGTGAGGTACATGAGGTGATATAGTCTACCGAAGTATTCAATGTTCATACTTCATCTTATATAGATACTAATATTGTATGGGCAAATTTACTGCGAAATCATAAATTCCATATTCATCTCAGGTATCTGGTTGAGAGAAATATTTAGATGTAGCAAGTTTTAAAGAATCGCTTTCTTGTTTCGCAAGTTATGACAAAATTAAAAAATAAATAAATAAAAGTATTGGAAATTGTGACCCTTTGCGGTCGAGATACCAGATTATATCAGGGGTTCGCAGATATATATCATCTCCACAACAGATTTTGTTTTACTAAAAATGATTGAGTGTGTGTTAAAATTGAAGAGAGTTGGATGCTTATTTCACTTTCTTTGAAAGTTATAGGGTTCAACTAAGGGAGGTACCAGAAAAATTGGTCCGATTTCTACCACCTTTATAGCAGATATTGTGTTGGTAGAAATATTGAGATGTACAAAGTCTGAATGGAATCAGATTTTAATTTCGCGTTTTACGAGCTTTAAAGACATTCAAAATTTCGACCCTTTGTGGGGGAGGTACCAGAAGGAGTTTACCGATATATTCCATCTTCGCATCAGACCTTGGGTTAGTAAAAATATTGTAATGTGTGTAAATTTAAGAGAACCGGCTGCTTATTTCGAATATAATTTTTTGGTTATTCAAAACGTTGACCCTTTGTAGGGGAGGTACCAGAAGAAATAGTCCAATCTTAACCATCTTTACAACAGGTCTTGTACTGATGGAAATGTTGGGATATGCCAAGTCTGAATGCGATCGGATGTTAATTTCGCGTTTTATGAGCTTCATGGGTATTAAATTTTTTGAGAAAGAGTGCGCCGATATATTGGTTCAAATATTAGGAATTGTAAAGTTGGAGCAAAATAGGATTATCCTTTCTCTTTCTGTGCAGTATTTTTTTTCCTTTTGTGGGTGAGGTACCAAAAGGAGTCGAAAGATATTTCCCATCTCTGGACTCGAAGTATGTGTAATAATATTATTATCGGGCGCATCTGCCTGATGGACGGACTAGATCGACTCCAAAATATCCTGAAACGGATTTGGTCCAAAGATACTTAAGGCCCAAACCGATATTTCGAAGAGGCACGTCTCGTTCTATTAAATGTTTTATACCCTCTGTTGCGATATGGATGAGACTTTAAAAACATGTCATTCTTTGAAAAAATACAATAAATTCCAATTCTGTGATCTGATTTAGATTGATTTTAATCGAAAGACAATTGACGTATCCCAAATGGACAGACGAGCAGATGGACATGGCTAGATTGAGTTTTGAAAAGTTTCTCAGGGCTAAAGACCTCTTTTTTACGCCAAGCCGGAAGAAAGATTTTTCTACAGAAAAAAGTTTATCAGATAAGCGGGATGGATTTTTTATATAAAAAAAAGTGTCATACCGGATGAATAAATTTTTGTTCTAAAGAAAAAATGTCAGAGGAAGTCAGAGGAAGATTTTTTTCTGTAGAAAAATTTTTTCAGACGAGAGTAAAGAATTTTTCCTCTATAGAAAAAATTGTCAGACCAGAGGAATGCATTTTTTCTATAGAAGAACATTGGATGACCAGAAGAAGATTTTTTCCATAGAAGAAAAATTGTTAGATGAGAGTAGAGAATTTTCTCTCTGCAAAAAAAAATTGGCAGACAAGAAGAAGAATATTTTTTCTATTAAAAAAAATTTCAGACGATAGTAAAAAATTTTTTCTCTATAGAAAAAAATTGTCATACCAGAGGAATGCATTTTATCTCTACAGAAAAAAACCGTCAGACCTGAGGAATAAATTTTTATCTAGAGAAAAAATCGTCAGACCTGAGGAATGCAGCTTTTTCTATAGAAACAATTGTCAGATCGGGGGGTGCATTATTATGTAGAGAAAAAATTGTCAGACCAGAGGAATTAATTTGTTTTCTGAGGAATGATTTTTTTCTAAAGAACAAAAACTGTCAGACCAGAGGAATGCATTTTTTTCTACAGAAAAAAAGTGAAAAGTGATGATTTTTTTTTCTTCTGTACATAAAAGGTCGACCGACTAGATAAATTGTCAGATAGGAGAAATGCCTTTTTTCTACAGAAAAAATTGTCAGACCAGAGGAATGAATTTGTTTTCTGAGGATTATTTTTTTTTTAAAGAAAAAAATTGTCAGATGAGAGGAATGAACTTTTTTTCTATAGAAAAAAGTGAAAAGTGATGATTTTTTCCTTCTATAGAAAATAAGTCGTCTGACCAAAGGAAACAAATTGTTTCTACAGAAAAAATTTTCAGTTCTGAGGAATGCATTTTTTTATAGAAAAAATTGTATAGACCTGAGAAATGGGTTATTTTTTATAGAAAAAAATCATCAGAATTGAGGAATGATTTTTTCCATTAAAAAAGCATCAGAACTGAGCAGAAAAAAATAGTCATAAATGCTAAGGTATGCATTTTTTTTTTTTGTAGTAAAAAATCGTAACACAAGAAGAATGGGCTTATTTCTGTAGAAAAAAATGTAGACCGGAGGAATCGGTTCTATCTAAAGAAAGAATTGTTTCTATAGAAAATTTCAAAAGACCAGAGAAATGAGTTTTCTATAAAAAAATCCTCTTCCTAATAGCTCATAGAGGACATGCCTTTATTAAATTAAGCTAAAGCACTAAAAGTGCCAAAAGGTTAAGGGGATAGCAAAAAATTTCTCAGACCTAAGGACAGAGGACCAATTTTTACTATAGAAAAAAAAATCCAGTTTCTCCACAGGTATGTTTTTTTTTAAAGAAAAAGATTCGTGATGCCGGTAAAATGCGTTCTTTCTATAGATTTTTTTTTGACCGGAGACTAATCTCCTAACTCCTTAAGTAATTTCCCTGAATTGATATCCATATTTCACATGCCTTCCTTCGAAATAAAAATTTTATGACTCAAAATTTTAAAAAAAAAAAATAATTTTCTTAAACACAAACAGAATTTACATTTAAAGCAATACACTGCGATAGCAAAATGAAGGCTTTCTTATTTGCTGTATTTTTTCATGTTACAATTCGATACTGGACAACGAATTAAAATGTCACTTAAATAAT